TGCCACCAGAAAGTTTCCGGAAATTGTAAATCAAACGAAAATTTTTAATATTCATCAATATTTATTTTGTCGCCTTCAAAGTATGCTCCTTCTGATTCGTTACTTGCCTTGTAGCATCCCGCTGTCCGGGAACGCCTTCAGATCCCTCTGCGAATTTTCTTTACGGCCTCAAATAGTCGAAACGGGTTCCACGGAGGGTAACTTGAATTTTGAAAACAAAAAGGTCGCATGGGGCCAAATCCGATAAATACGGTGGTTGATCGAAGGTATTGAACGAGTTTTGGTCTTAAAATCGTTCACATCAATGCTCTTTTTGCGCCAAATTTTATTGCTAGTACACGACTATTTTCTCTATCTTTATCGTGCTTATTATATTCTCGAAACATATTGCTACAGAGTATAATAGTTTTGTTCACTTGTCGGTTGTTTGTAACACATAAAACTAATCGAGATAGATATAGAGTTATATATATATGGTAAATGGCCAGAAGGACGAGCGCGTTAAAATACAGACGTCCGTGCACGTGATTACTTGAGTAGAGATAGAGATATCTTGATGACACTTGTTATTTACATATGTTTCATTAAATGAAAACATGTAAAATGTCATAACTAAGATATAAAACTGTAATTTGGTTCAAAGGATTGCAGTAACGAGAGAGACACTTGTGGGCTAAAACTTTTTTAAAAAGTGGGCGTGGCCCTGCCTCCTAAATGATTAAATATAGGTACACATCTTCCTAACTCAACTAAAAAAAACTTTTTAAGGACCCTGACTCCAAATATGTGGACCCCAGTGCATATGGCTAAATTTTTACCAAACATATCGGTCCAACTTTGAGGTCTAGTAATGAAATTCGCGGAGAATATTTTTGTGATGATATCATTTCCTTTCTAAAAATGCGCAAAATCGGGCCAATACTTCGCTCAGCCCCCATATACCTAATATAAATATATTCGAACTTCCGGTTGACTTTATACCGCATGTATCGGTCAATATGTGATTTATGTTAATGAAATTCATAATGATATATCGTAATACAAAACTGGATAAAATCGGTTTATTAATATTCACTAGCCCCAATAAAACTTTCTTAAAGGCAGGATACCGGAATATAAAAAACCTGAATAATCGGATGTATGGGAGATACTTGTATATATAAGTATGTTATATAGTTGTCCGATCTGGCCGATTCCATATATATTCCATATCAAAATCAAATTAAACTTCATTTGGAGATTTCAAAATGAGTTGTTCAAAATGATCCGGAAAATATTTGCGTGCGCATATGCGATTTATATGAAAAAAATCGAACGCCTCTAACTTACATATATATTCAACAACAATCAATTAATAGCTCTTATTACTATTTAACAGTGTAGGTATCTCCATTTTATTCACCTCAGGTGTTTCATAAATAGAAATTTCATAGAAAAAAACCTACCACTTAATCAGATTACAACACTTTTTAGTGAATTAATGCTTCTCATAAATTTATCAGCTTAAATGTAATTAAACTAATTAATGGAATAAAAATTTTGTGCAACCGCAACTTTGCGATGCCGAAGCGTATAAATGACGCTAGCGAAGCGCACATGCAACTCGACGCTGCGGAGATTGCCGCTCAAAGGTATGCGCTCAAAATGCCGAACGGAATTTACATAAAGTAATTGAATGGAAAATAAATTGTAGTAAGTGCATAAATGCCAGGATATGGCATGCAGGATACAGGATACAGACAGGAAAGGCTGTCATGCGGTTGGCGCAGCAATCGCATTAAAATGGATACTAAGTAGTAGGCGATTACCAGTGGATAGCTTTATTATACGAATAAATATTAGGGAATAATTTTTCAAACTATTTTCATTCATTTTTTTACCGAGATTTTTCAGAGAGAAAATGAAGAACCTAAAAACTACTGTATAACATGCTAAGGGCTAAAAAGGAAAGGTCCACGATGCTGCATATGCTCCAGTTTTCTCCGTTTGAAAAAATGTGAATTTTGAACATTTTGGTAATTTTTGGCCTGCTAAAATTCGATTTTTGATCAGATAAAAAGGTTGGTAGGTGGTTGGTTGGTAAGTTATTTCGGAACTATATACAGAACACGCAGAAAAATTTGATACTGATCAGATCAATTGCCTTCGAGTAATCAATCAAGCCAATATAAAAAATGTAGTTTTGAGAAAAACGTATTTAAAGATAAACTGAAAGATCTTATTGAACTATTGAACTTAAAACACTGTAATTCTAAAACTTTTTGAGATATCGGTTTTAAATTTTAGATTATTATTTTGAAAGATATAACCTAACAAAATACGAGGAAAAAATATTTTTCACACAAGCCTTCTGAAGTATTTTTAATTCGATACCTACAGTTAATTTATCTCCTCAATTTTAAGAAATGGAAATTTAGTAGTTGGCAGCCAAGTTCAAAAATATTTTTTGCTGTACCTAGACTTACTCGGTATATAATTTTGCTTTAACTTCTTAAATTTTATTAATAGTTCCAATAGTGTTATGTTGTTAATCAAAAATATATTATTTCGATTTACCTCTTTAGAGTGAGGATACAACGGGAATTTGTTTCGTTGCACAATTCAGTCGGAGTTAAGCTCCTACACCAATGTACCTTTTGCTTACACTGCCGACCTAACTTTTGGGAGACACTTTTATGCAGAAGAAACTATTTCGTGACTATTTCTCAAAGTAAATAAGTGAGAAGTACTTCACCGAAGGACTACAGAAAAATAAAAACTCTCATTATTTTACTTTATACCGTGAAAATATATATACTCGATATCACGATATCTACAGAGCTACTTATAGACGCCACTCAGTACTTGTATTGGGAGTACTTAAGTAGAAATAGTATTTTACATTTAATAGCAATAGAAGAGCATCCAAAAATGTAAGTAGAAAACTCTAATTAAGAATTGCGTCTTTTGGGGTTGTGAGTTGTTTTCATGGGAGTTTTCGGAAATGAGATAATTTAAAAGTTAATAAGAAAGCCTTTTGAACTAGTAAATAGTTTTTATAGTTCCTGAAGTGCACATAAAATGCACTATACAAGTAAAAACTTAATTTAATGAATTGGTGTATTCTTTAGTTTTTAATAAAAATATTTTCCTATATACATATACTTACATATGAACTCCTGAAATTTTTACTCTTCTAGTTTTGTCTGACCAGTCCTTTCTTCCATGATTAGGACTTTACGACAGCGTGATGCAAAATTTTCTCTTGGCCTATATTAGTAAGTAAATTCCTATGGTAATATGGATTTTAAACCGTCAAACTAGTCGCAAATGCGGATGATCATTAGCATAATAGCAGTGGCTAAACACCATGCCGACCTAAGAGACAAATGCAATGAGTAAAACAATGGCCCGCGGCAATGGTTCTCTTCCATGAGTCTCGAACTGGCTGAGCACAAAACAGAAGTTTTGCTCATAAGCACTAGGAAAGTGGAAGAAAGAATATCGGCCACCATAGAAGAGTGGGAGATTACTTTATAGTAACAACTGAAGTTTTGAGAGTAATATTGGACTCAATATTGACTTTCAGCAATTCGATCTATCAGTGCTTTTCGAACCATATCTAATGCTGCTGCTGAAGTAATAGCCAGTATGCCGTCAATTGACATCCAGGAAGATGGACCCTGAAGCTATCTATGTTATTCATACTCCGTCATGATGTTAATCAGTAGTACTTAATCCTATGGTTCCGTGGAAGAGGCTTGAGTTTAGGTTTAGCGGCATTGTTAGCTATCATTTTTAGTGAACCCAATTAGCTGGTTCTCACGAAATTAGTGTCTACAGTAGGTAGTACGTAACGGGAATAGACACGGATTTATATACGGCAAAAGCCTGTCAACTCGACATCTTTCCATTACACCATGTAAGAAATACCATATTTTATGCTTAGCTATCCTGCAAACTTATAATATATTTGGTGACAGCAATAGATGTCTCTGGAAAATTATGCTATCAGAAGAGCCCATTTGCATGAATTAAGTTAATTACTTTAGGTTGCATAGTTTTGTGATGCACTGTATACAGTTGGCCACTTTGTTATTTTGAGTCTCAACATCTCTCTTCGCACCATTTCCTTTGTTATTCTAATAATACTGAATCTAATTGCTTGTGCGTTTTTGTTTTTGCAATTTACTGTCAAAGCTTGCCGGTTGGCATATTTACTTTGCTGAAATATGAAGACAACTTAATTTTGCGAAAGCATTTTGGAGTAAAAACATGAAGAGCAAAACAAAAGTTTAGTCTGATCTGAATTTGCCCTTTAGTAGACAGTCAAACAATAACTTAATGGATGCAATATATTTTCTTTCTCATGTGTGTGTGCGTAGTGGTCAAAGAAGGACCTTTCTTCTGATTTCAAATGCTGCACTCACTCAGCCCTCTACTGAAATTGGTTCAAAAATGCAGTCTTTATACCATGATCAGGATATATTAAATTTACCACGAAGTTTGTAACATCCAGAAGGAACGTGGTATATACATATATAAATGATCAGCATAATAAGCTGAGTCGAATTAGCCATCCATGTCCGTCTGTCGGTGCGTCTGTCTGTATATACGCGAAGTAGTCCCTCAGTTTTTAAGATATGGATCTGAAATGCACATATCCTTTTCTCCTCAAGAAGCTGCTCATTTATTCCAACCGACGATATCGGACTACTATAACATATTGCTGCCATATAAACCAAACGATCAAAATCAAGTTCCACTTGGAAAAATTTTTATATTTTAGGAGATATCTTCAAGAAATTTGGCATGAGTATGCATATGCGAAAGCTGCCAAACAAGCTGACCGATCAAAATCAAGTTCTTATAAGAATCTTTTGTATTTGTGAAGGGTATTTATTATAGCTTCGATGCAACCGAAGTTAAGTTTTTTCTATGTTTTTGTACTCACTTAATTTTTATTTTATTCATATATATCAAAAATAACTGTTATCTGCTGTAGTTGTAGCTGTACTTACCCTTGCATGGACAGAAACCCTTGCACGCTATCCTTATGGTTGTTGAATGTATGCAGTTGTGGTAATCCAATCTGCATAGCGATGAGTATGTACGGTTGTCGGCGCCGCATAAGAAAGTCGGCTTTGCCACCGGGCAGGGCTTGCAATTGCTGGACGAAGCGCGCGGGCGGGTAGGCGAGTGATCGTCCAAGGTATTGTTGTAATAGCAGAAATTGGTGGCGAATGGATGACAGCAAGGATGCAACGGCACATTCGGTGGTCGCATGGTAGCGCATAGTCGGCACGCAGTAGTCAACCGAACGGTAGCATGAAAGTAGATAAAGAACAGAGAAAAATGGCGGTGAGGGGGCCGACGTTATTGAACAGTTGCAAGTTGAGTGCGGCAAATTGCAGTGGCGAATAAGTGTGCTTATGTATGGGTGTGTGTTTGTGAGTGAGTGAAGTAGTGGATAATTAATTTCTTATGCAAATTATAGTCCGCTAGTTGGTTGGCTCTCCGGCTGGTTGACTGACACGCAGAGTTGGCAGGAGTCAGCTACCAGCATGCGAGTATTTTAAATATTTCTCACACTTATATACAAATACTAACCACCCATATATACTATTGTAAGGCGTTTAGTTAGTGTTGTGTGAACAAACACTTATTTCTACGAACATACGAGTATATAGTCACATGTCTGTTTACAGGTATACATTAATACAATATATAATGTTTAATAGTTTAGTCTTCTTAAACAGAGACGGCTTCCATTTTTCTTTTTTTTTTAATATTTACCCAACTCTTTTAAGGGTCTATATATGTACGTACCCTTTGCAAGTCATAAAGAAACACGTTTTTTCGTGAAAATTTTTTTAAGAGGTACTTTATTTAATAAATAAATAAAAATAATAATGTGCAGAATAAATGTGCACATTATTTAATGCACTTTAATAATTGGTTAATTTTGAAGAATTATTGCTTTCCTTGATCCCGATCTGCAGAAGCACCTCCGCAAAGCGGTGTCTGACGCTGAGGAAGATTCGTCTGCATAAAATTATCTTAAATGCAAAAACACATAAAAATTATTCTAACAATAGATGAGTACAGGCAATTCTCCAAGAACTAGGCAAAATTTAGATTTTTGATAAAATGGCGGCTTCCCAAAAAAATCTTTTGAAATAAATTTACACTGCAGATAGGCTTTAAAATCGAAATCATTATTCTGCGATCATTGCCTGACAAATTTATCTAAGAAGGTCGATTTTTTAAAATTCTTAAATATATGTTCTCTGAGGTAATACCTTAAGTTTTTCTGAACGACCGATGGATATAGAATTCATCACGGCGGAGCCTCAAAGCGTCGAAAAACTGAGTAGTCGTGTTGGCTAGAGTAATATTTAGTGCTTAGCTCCGAGTAGAAACAATATTAAAACAGCTAGTATACCCACTAAAACGTATCAGGTATGACTTAGAATATATGTCTGTGATGTCTTCGATTTACTAAACATGCAATGCAAACCAAATGTATTGGCGTAAGAAAATGGAGAGAGAACGAAAAAGTGTATAAAGAACTTAAATAGAGTGTTTACGTACCATCTGATTATCATTGGATTGACCCGGACTGGTAAATTTAAACTGAGCGCACAAACCGAATCGTTCAAATTGTTCGTGGATTGTTAATGCCCTTTTTAGCAACTGTTTGTTTACGACGCAAAAAGATTGTCAGCCCTTTCTTACCAAACAAAAAAAAAATTAACAACGAGTTTGCTTGAAATTTCGTGTTTCCAACAGAACCCGACTACGGAATCATTGAAAAGAAGTGTTTTGGGGAGTCTACTTTATCACGAACACATGAAAACATCGAAAACTTGCCTCAATGCTCGAAAATGGTCGCGTTGGCCTCAGAGAGATAATAGAAGATCTCAACATCATCATATTAAGATACGTAAAAACATGAAACATGACAGTGCTGGTCAAATCAGATCAGTATACTCTTGTTGTAAACTGAAATTGTTAACTGTTGTTGTTTTTTGGCCTCGGGTGATCTAGGCTTGAGAAACTGGTTTGACGAACTTACTCGCAGGCAGAGTTGCCAATTTTTTACTTAAGAACACGAATTAAAAATTTAAACTTTAACTTTTATCCCAAAAAGAGAACTAAAAAGTTATTAATTTGAAAAATGCAGTAACAAAAAATTATAATTTTCACATTAAAAATTGGAATGAAAGGGTTTTAACAGGAATGATTTACATATTTCTAACTGAAAAACTATAAGTTAAAGTTATTAAATGTAAATAAGACAAAAAGTCCTAAACTATGTTAAAGTTTTACCAATAATAAGCTTTCCTCTTACAAAGAAAAGAAGCAGTTTTAAGATATTTGATATTAAATTTAATGAATAATCAAATTGTTTTAATTGCTTTAATTCTTGCGATCATTGCGATAAAATGCTATTTTTTTCAGTCAGATATTTAGGATTACAATTTTCATTTGCAGTTTTAAATCCGATTGTTGAGATTAAAAATATATTTTTATTTTTCAATCTGGCATTTGGGATTAAAAATTAAAAAATTATTTATGAATACAATTTTAATAACTGAAAAAAACACATAATAATAATTTAAATGCTTATTCAATTATCTTTATATCCTGAACAGTGAATATTAAGTTTGCCACGATGTTTGTAACACCAGGAAACGTCGCCTAAAAATTATATTTATAAATGATCAGCTTGACGAACTGAGTTGATTTAGCCATTTGTCGGAATCGCCTATATCGGACCACTATAGCTATAGCTATCATACAAACTGAACAATCGGAATCAAGTGCTGGTATATAAAACTTTTTCATTTAACGAGATATCTTCACAAAATTTGACATGAGTTATTGTTTGATGCGAAAAACCTTAACGTTTTTATATTACATCATTACAGCAACAACGACACAGTAGCAGTAAGCTGGGAAACGAGCACATGCAGTTATCGGCTGGTGTCGTGCTATATGCCGTACGAGGAGGAGCTGGTGCCCGCTATGATGGTAAAAGAGGGATAGCGAGGCATCCAAGTGCATGATAATACTTGGATGCGACTCAAACGCGCAGCACACAGTCTGGGGCAGCTCAGATGTCAACGACAGAGGTGAGTGTCTCTTCAATTACCTACTAGGCACTAAGCTACTGTTGTGTAATAAGGGAAGTACACCAACATTTATTACAAGAAACCGACAAGAAGTACTGGATATCACACTTGTGTCGGAAGTACTATTTGACAGGGTAACCCAATGGAGAGTCCTCGAAGAACATTTATTTTCGGATCACCGATATATTGAATGTACATTAAAAGAAAGGCAAAGAATAGGAAAACGAACTGGCAGGTGCACATGCAAGAGCTGGAAAAACGTATCCCTATCATTCCGCCGTTTCAGCCCAATAGTAAGGAGGATCTCGACATCCTCGCTGATCAATTCACTGAATCTTGCCGGCAAGCACTAGAAGTGGCTTGTCCAATAACACGAAGTAGAGGTAGAATTAGGCCACCCTGATGGTTTCTCGAACTTAAAAAGTTACAGAAAGAATGCAGAAAGCAGTTCAATTTAGCTAATCAATCCCAAGGCGAGTCAGCCTGGGATTATTACTATAACCTGCTTAGGTCATACAAGAAGGAAGTTAGGAGAGCAAAAAGAGATTGGAAAAATCTTGGAAATCTTTTTGTAATGATATCGAGAACACGACGGAAGCGTCTCGACTTAGGAAAATAATGGCACAATCTGTGCATAGTATCGGTTATCTTCAGAAGCCAGACGGCGGTTGGACGGTATCCAGTGAGCTCTGAAAGCCATACTGTTGAATATACTCAAGACAGTGGAGCAGAAATAGACTCCACTCTTATAAACACGGTGTCAGAAAGCAACGTACGCTGGGCAATAAATAGCTTCAAGCCCTTCAAGTCGCCGGGACCAGATGGTCTATTCCCGGCTCAATTACAGCAGTTACATAATGGATTGGCTAGTTGCCATTCTTAAAGGGGCGCTGCAATTAAACTATATGCCTTCGCTTTGTCAGTCAAGGTAATAGACATACCTAAGGCAGGCAAAAGCTCGCTCACAAATCCAAAGGACTTCAGACCTATTAGTCTCTCCTTGTTCCTTCTAAAAACGTTGGAAAGGCTAATAGAACTACATACTTGTATAAGAAACAAACTAAAACCAGACAAGTTGGCTGGTTCACAACATGCGTATTCTAAAGGAAAATCCACAGAAACTGTGCTGAGATCTGTGGTGGCGGAGATTGAAAAATCTCTAGAAGTTAAAGAGTTCAATAACATCCAGCCTAGGGGGATACCGAGTGCGATCTGGACATCTCTGAACCTCTCAGAAAATTAATTGAACAGATGCTCACGAGCAGGTCAATAACTTAAAAGCTGGGAGCGTCAACGATGTGCAGATCCGTCCAAAAGGGTACACCCCATTTCTCTGGATCCTGACAATGAATAAGTTGCTGTGGGATCTAGAGAAGAAGGGGGTACATGTTGTGGCCTACGCTGACGATGTGGCAGTATCAGTTAGAGGTAAATTCCCTAATACACTCGCAAACCTTATGCAAACGATCCTGGACGGTATAAACCGTTGGGCTGTATCTGTAAATGGTTGCGAATTAACAATTGGAGATAAGGCAAGCTACCTAGGACTAATCTTAGACAGGAAGCTTTCATGGAAACAAAACTTGGATGCTAGGGTGAAGAAAGCAGCCACAGCACTGTACACTTGTAAAAGGATGGTGGGCCCCAAATGGGGGCTAACGCCTCGGATAGCTTATTGGCTCTATACAGCAGTTGTCAGACCAATCATGACATACGGTATATTGGTATGGTGGCCAATAATGGATAAGAAATACGCGGTGAGGCGTATGGAAAGTATACAAAGAGCAGCCAGTATATGCATTAGTGGAGCTCTAAGAACAATGCCTAGCCAGGCACTAAACGTCATTCTACATTTATTGCCAACAGACCTGTTCTGTAACAAGTGGCAGCAAAGTCTGCTCTCAGACTAAGGGAATCCTCCCAATTAGTCGCCTGCAACAAGGGGCATTCTAGAATAATTAGATCGTTCCCGTTTCTACCCAAAACCACGGATTTCTGCAATCCAATTAGAATTTAGACACCAAAATCGCCT